GTATTCACTTTTAACTCTGGTATCAGAAGCCATTTGTCATCTAATATATCCATTTAGGTGGCAGGTAAGTTACATTACTTCAATTTTTAGTTTTGGGGTTATTAAATATGAAAGAATTCTTCCCTTAATTTTTTGCTCGAAAATGTCGGTAATTCCTGAACAGGTTTTTTAATATAGCAGTTGAAATCCATAATTAATAATTTCTGGTGTGATATTACTAAGTGGGTTTACTAAGTGGGTTTTCGTGCATATGTTGTTGCTTCTTTATAATGAACTCTAACCCAATCTTTCTATGTTTGTTGTCCTGAAGCATGTCTACATTCCGTTACTCTTTTTCAGTGGAGTAGACTATATTGACGCTCCCACACCATATATGATGGGTCTTCATTCAGGTGTTGATACATCCTATCTGGCAATGGATGGTGTAAGTAATTTCTTTTATAGTTTAATGTTTATTTTTTTCAAATAATTGAGTTTTATGAGAAACAATATTTATCGTGGCTATATTATAACGTATCACCCTGATTGACATTTGCACTTGGCAGAATATTTGGTATGTGGCCTCTTGGTTTTAAATTTATGTGTAACAGATTAAGATATTATGTCAAGGCTTATAAACCTTTCTGAAATTTCTTATACTCTGCAAAAGGAGGCCAGTTCCTGATAAGTTTGTTGTTACATCATGTTCAGTAGCTTTTAACTGACCTTTTTATATATTGCAGTTAATCCTTTGTGCAGTTTTCCATTTTGGTAGAAGGCGTATCTTTTACGAGTTCTGATTTCTTTCTTGAAATGAAAATGTCCCATTGCAGACTGCCCCTTGCATTCATAATAATGTTGAGATTTTAGAAACATTAACATTTTATCAATATAGTACAAAAAGGGGAGAGAGAACCTCCTCACCCTAGAGCTTTAAAGAATCCACTCTTAATCACAAAAGGGTTCACTAACAAGAGAACACCAATTAGCATTATAGAAGTCAACCAAGTGAAGAATTGCACCCCTATACAAGGAGACCAAATTAGCTCAGTTCCATAGAAATGTGATAGAAGCTACTTGGAGCCTTATATTTGTGGGTTGGAGCTTCCTGGAATGCTATTACTTTTATTGTCTTTCTATATGTTGCTTTCCTTGTTCCGCCTTCAAATATTTTCATTTGAGGTGAAACATCACTTTGTGATTCTGGGTGCTCCTATCACAGAGCTTTCTAGTGAATTAAATCAGTTAAATGCTTGCTGTTTTCTTGTTTTGAAACCTAGGTCGTTGTAGTGGACCTTGAGTATAATTGTATCACCACTACAGAGGAAATACCACCTATTCCGGAACCAGAGCTTGGATCTTTGCGTGGTGAGCTAATGAAGTTATTATGTCCAAATGTTGTCAGCATAGATCAAATGAGGTCTGATTTGCGTAGCTCATCTGAGCAATACCCTAGAGGTAGCAGCAAGCCTTGGGGAGAAGACCATGACCTTCAGCTTAGGTGATAATTGGGCATCAAGACTTATAATTATGAAGTACTTTCAGCTTTCCTAGTGAAAATTTTTTTGAAGTTTACTTGCATTCGAACAACTTCTATGTAATTTTTTGCGTGCACTTGTTCTTTTTTCTGTAATAATTATTGTTGTAGTCTATAAAATCTTAGGTTTTTGCTTTTTGTGATTGTTGTGCAGGACCTCAGATATTTGTTGGAGACTTATGGTTCTTTAATTTTACTCTTATTATCTTCTTGTTTTTTGTTCTAGCCCCCCGGGGGGTGGGGGGAGGACATATGTTTTCAAATGGATTCTTTGCTCCATCTCAACATTGTTTACAAGTTCTTTCAACTGTTTAACTGAGGACAGCATGTATATATCCAGATAGTTCCTTTTTTAATTTTAAGTTCTTTTCTGAAACTGGTGGTGAAAAGTAATTTCGCCAAGTAGAAGTTATGATTTGTGTGCTACTTTTCTTCTTTATGCAATACTGGAGATCTGAAATAATCAATGGTTTACTGTTAAGCTTTCCCCTTCAGTTCTGCAAGGTTATCAATTATTATCACTTGTCTTCATTGATTTGGCTATCATCATATGTATGATTGTACTAATATATGGACCTGGAGATTATGTATTATAGTGACATTTCAGAAACTAACTCCTGGCATATGTGCTTCTGAAGTTGTCAGTATGCTATGTTTATGATTATTATATTCTTGAATCATGCTATTAGTCTTGGATTTCTAAGATATCTGTTCAAGATATATTATTAGGTTTTAGGCACATTAAGTAAACATTTATCTCAAGCATCAAGCATGATTGCTAAATTTAACATGGTTTGTGTAGATTTGACGACTTCATAAACAAAACTCGATTATGATAATATTTTCTTTATCCTTTATGCAGGATGATATTTTTAAAATTCTTTGCATCACTTTTAAGTGGCTATCGCAATTTTATAGTACGTAGTTTGCTCTCTCCCTCTCTCCCTCTCTCCCTCTCTCCCTCTCCCCCTCACACGTGACACACAAACACAGGCACAATTATTATATAGGAGGTTTGGCATCTAATTTACCATAATTTTTTCAATGAAAATTTTTAATCAGGAAACCAGTGCGTCTGATGTCTTCAATACACAAGCATTCTTGAAGAAGCGTTCACGATCAACTAGTCAACCAACAGACCCCATGGTGACGCCTTCAAATTAATCCTTAGCCTGTCCTCTATGTAGTTATTTTTCGAAATATCAATGAAACTGATTTATATTCATATAGATATTTCACTTGATGTCTGAGTTTATTGAGATACAAAAACATCTTAACACATTGAACCTTAAGACTATATAATCTCGTTGATTAAGGCACTTGAAGATAGTGTGATACTATTTTATTGCTGCTATGAGCACAATAGTATTTTCCTGAGAAAAATCTCTTTGTTTCCCCCCTGTATTTGGGTTCATAAATTGCGCCCCTTATACTTTTATTGTGTTTACAGATAACTCAGTTCATGGAGTCCCATGGCTTCTTAGACTATCTAGAGAGGTGCATAGGTTCTGATGAAAGTAATAATAATCTTCTCGACAAGTTACAAGATGCAATTGGGAGGGGTCAAAATCCTCTTTCAATTCTTCCATCCTTGTTGGCTGAACCTGAGATCATAACAATTTCTGACCCTGATATGGCAACATCAGGTAAAGGCTATATCAAAATGAAATATCAGAACATCATAAAAGCTTTCTGAACAGGCATAAAAGTATTCTTAGAAACTTTGACGAGTGCTAGGATGTTGATTTTTCTCCACATTTCTGTACTCTTTGCAGGTTCTGGTGCCAAGTACACTTACGATAGATTTCCTCCAAACATCAGAACTGAGGAGCAGGAAGAAAAGAGGAAGAAAATTCTAGCAGAAGCAAGTGGAGCTTTTGAATACTCAGGAAGGCATAATCCTAAGTATGAACTTACATTCAAAATCTTGTAATTGTTCTGCAAAACCATGAATTGGTTGTCAAGCTTGTCCATTAATTCTTAATCTTTCCTTCTATCAATCAGTTCACCTTCTGTGCTAATGGGCAAGGACTTGAAAGCAGAAAGCCTCAGTCCTATGGAGAGGGCTGTAAGTTCTTTACATTGTGTCACTCTTGAACTTTTTCATATAATTTGAGGTTGTCCTGGAATTTACTACATAGTTGACTCACAGGCGGAAAGAGAACGCATGGTTTTGGACATAAAAGTCAAACTACAGGTTCATTATTTTTACTTATTATTGCCATATTTTCTTCTAAATATGTTTCAGTTCAAGTCCTAGATTGTATTGAATTCGAGCCTCTGTGTATTAGTTGACATTTTTTGTTGATTAGGGTCTCTGGCTACGTCTTCTGAAACTGAGTGCTACTGATGATCCTCCTCTTTCTTCTTTTGAATATGGCACTATTCTTGGTAACTTGTTTTGAAGGCTGATTTATTGCTGGTTTATTGATGAGACAAGATATTTGTCTCTGTTTGTTGCAAATATATTTAATTTTTTAATAAAAAATTATTTTCTCTTTGCAGCTTTGATTGAATCTGATGCAGAGGGAATTGGTGGTAGTGGATTTGTTGAGTGTATTAGAGAGCACATAAATACAGTAAGTAGCTCGTGGGATTGATAAGAATTGGTCATTCATGCTCAAACTACCATTTTGTGATATCTAATCTCATTATTATTACCTTTTTTTTTATCTCTTTACCACAAATTCAAATCTCCATTATGATCTCAATTCACATTAAATTGTTAATGCAAAGTTTGAGAAAATAAATCAATTTAAGAAAAGAATAAAGCAAAACAATAAGAATGGCAATTCCAATCTAAAAACCTACATGGAAAGGTTTGAAGGAAGTTAGATCATGAACAAATGTTGTAGATTTTATTTCCCTGGGATTGTAGTTCAATTGTTATGAAGACATTGATAGATTTGTTATCTCAAGATGGCATTGGGTTAACTTTTGACTGGTTTTGTTCTCAGGGATGGATTTGTCAGTTAACCGATGAGCAATTTATTGCTGTGAAAGAATTGGTATGTAATTCATGATCTGAACTAATTGGATGCAACTTGGCATGCTTATGGTAATAAACTTCATGTTTATGATTTTGTTTTTGTCATGACATTTATTCTTTATACTAAAATCAGCTAAACTAATTTCACCAATTTAATTTGTTTATATTAATCTGTTCCTCGGAGGGGAATCNCCGAGTTAGTTAGAGGGTAATTTGGTCACTTATAAGGGTATAGGGTGGTTATATAAGCTGCTGTAATAGGGGGGTGAGGTATCTTTTTGGCTGATTGTTCATGGTTAGGAATTGTAGGAGAGGCTAGGGAGCTCTTGAATTCTCCCTCAACCTGTAAATTCCCCTCTTATACATAAATAATAGAGCAGAACTCTATCATAATCTAATCAGTTCTTCAAGCAATTGTCAACACACACAAAAGAATAAGGAGCAAGTTCACTTTATGTAATGCAGTTCTCAACTATCTTCCCTCTAATTAATGTCTCTTTTTCCAATGCCTAATTGGGTTGGTGGGAAGGAAAGTAAAAAGGGAAAAGGGAAAATTTTGGTAAAGGATGATTGTTGTTCTAGCTGGTGATTAGTTGCAGATGGAAGAAGTTTGAAGGTGGATGAAGAGATTGAGTTCTGCAATTTGTTGAAGACTTAATAATTTGAGTTTATCTAGTAGGGATGATCATATAAGGTGGAATCTTGATCATTCCAGATGTTTTTCTGTCCAATATATTTTTATTTTTAATAAAAATAATTGAACTTTAATTCAGAAGAATGAAAGAATACAAAAGGGCATATAAAATAATAGCCCAACAAAAAGAGGCAAACTAAAACAAGAAGGGGCTCCAATGTAACCAAATTTGACCTAAAGAGTAGTTACAAAAAGCTTTGGACATAGGAGCCCAAAGAGAGATGTGATACCCAACAAGTAACCAAATCTCCTCCCAAGAACTCTCATAAAAATCTTCTTGTTCCTCTCAATCCAGCCCCTCGTAAAATAGGGGAAAAAAACATAAAAAAGGCCCTTTTCCCCAAATGGAGGATGAATAAGGGCCTCCTCCAACATCAAACTGCACTCTTGTTCCACTCTTTGAATAAGGATGAATAGGATTTTGAGACGCTAGATCATCTTTTCCTCCATTGTCAGGTGGCTTCTTCAGTGTGGTTTTACTTTGCTTCTTTGGTGGGAGTGTCTTTTTGTCTCCCTCAAAAGATAGATGAGTTTATTTCAGAAGGCTTCGGAGGAAGGGCCCTTAGGGGTAAAGCCTTTATCCTATGGAATTGTTTGGCTAGAGCATTACTTTGGCTTTTGTGGAGAGAAAGGAATAGTAGACTTTTTGAAGATAAGAAGTCCTCTGTGGATTCTCTTTGTGTGAATATACAGCATACGGTTTCTTGGTGGATATCCATCCACAAGAAGGTTTTTTGTAATTATAGTCTACAAATGATTATACAGGATTGGAAAGCTGTGATTGTATAGTTCTTTGGGGAGGGTTTTCTCAACCCTCTGCCTTCAGGATGTCCCTTTTTTTTAATGAAATACATCTGGTCTGTTTCTTATTAAAAAAAAAAAAAATCAAGGGTGGGGAGAATCTATCTAACAAGAGGAGGTTACAGAAAATGGGTTCCAATTTGTGAAAATTTGAATAGAGAATAATTACAGAAACGTTAAATGAGAATACTCTAATTGGAGATCAAAGGAACAACCATATCATAACAGTTAACAATTGTTTTGGGTTGCAATTGGTTGTATAAATCTTAGAATTGGTAAGTGTTTACAGAAACTATTTCAACTATTACCGAGCGTAGTTACATGCAGTTGCAAACAGTTTTACGAAGACACACAGTATTTTCTTTTTATGTTGTAGAACCGAATAGAGTTTGGAATTTTACCCTTTTCATGTAGCTCGCTTCGAATGTTGTAAACTAATTATTTTATTTTATTTTTATAATCAGCTAAAAACAGCAATCAGTCGTGCGACTTCACGAAATGATGTATTGACAATTAGGGATGCTCTTGAAGTGTCAGCTGAAATGTTCAAGAAAGACCCTAATAATGTTCCTGATTACATCCAACGCCATCTTATTTCTCTATCTATATGGGAGGAGCTAAGGTAATATTTACTGGCCATCAGTTCTAGTGGCATTCCTTTTCCTCCTTAGTTTAAGCTTTCTAGTTTTCTAACATTCTCATATCATTTTCTTAGTTGGTTTTATTTTTTTAATTTGTAGTTTTGTTTATTTATCAACGAAGATATTCATATTCCATATATTAAGTTGAAGAAAAACGTTATGTTTCATCAAATTAATGTGGGATCATCTGGATTTTTATTCTGAAGCACAACTATGTGACATTGAAAAAACATATATGTAAGACGTGTGATAACGAAACAAGTAATGGGCAGGAAATTGGAAGGATAAAAGCTTACCTTAAGAGTCGTACATTAAGTATTTCCCTGGTTTCGGTGTTCAACTTTTTCCAACATTATGTAGTTCAGGTAATACACATTCATGTTTGATGATGCAAAATCTTGAATTTGATTGCAGAATGATGAGTTGCTAACTAATTTGGTTGCTACCGTGAGATATGAATCCAATAAGGCTTTTGGAATTCTTAAGAAAAAAGAGGTTTTTTCCATAAGTATGAAATATGTATCCCTTTTTCCGAAACAAAGAAAATATTACTAGAGTTCTACTTTATAGAGCTTCTGCTCATTGAGGAGCATGCGTTATTTGATCCTGTTGTGAATGCTAGTTTTACTTGGTTGAATTTACGTGACAATCTGATTCTCAGCTATTTGGATAGGTTTTTGATGTCTCAAGGATGATCAACTTACTTTAAAGGTTAATTAGATAGATACTTACTCTTAAGGATGAATAAACCACCACTCAACCCAAAGCTTAACCACCACTCAACCCAAAAGCTTAAGCTGATGGGTTGGGTAAATTTAATTCATCTATATGGATTCTAACACTCCCCCTCACTTGTGAGCTTGGAAAATTACATCAAGATCCAACGAGTGGAAATCATAATAGACGGGGAGGAAATAACAACGCAGAGGTTCGAACACAGAACCTCCCGCTCTGATACCATCTTAAGGATGAATAAACCACCACTCAACCCAAAAACTTAAGCTGATGGGTTGGGTAAATTTAATTCATTCATATGGATTCTAACACTTACCTTGTGTATTCTTTCATTAAGTTAAATGACTAAGTCTTTTTATTACTCTCCAGATACTTACCCCAGATATTCATTACCAGACCCCTTCATATTCTAACTTAATGACTAAGGATCATCTTTACATTAATACAACAATCTCTTACTAGATATTTGTTAATTCATCAATTTCCCCCCTATCCATCTTCCTTCTACATTCTTTCACGATTGGGGTCTATCAAAGGTTTCAGATGAGCTGGGAACCACGAGGAATTTAAGAGAGGATTTGCTTTAGGAGCAAATTTGATTGAATGCAGATTTTGAGGTTTTAATTTTGGAGAAGAGATGTATTGGAGACAAAATTCTAGAGTGAAATGGGTTAGAGAAGGAGAGCAATACATCGTATTTCTATGGAGTTTCCAACTCTAAAAGATTTAGGAATTGCGAGTCAAAGAATTGGGAATGATATTTTAGGGACGAAGGAGATTGAGAAGGAAATGTTGGATATTTTTCTTCCTGGTAGACTCTGACATTCATTATAGCTTTTTGTTTGATGGTCTTGACGTTATCTCGATATCACAAGGGCAAGGAGCTTTTGGAACCTTTTTTTACCCTAGAAGAAAGTGGAAGAGTGGTCTATTTTATGGCAATTTTTCTTGATAGTTGAGATATGACCAAGAAAGACTAATTTTGCATGTTTGTAAATTTTACTATGCATTCTGAATAAATTTTTTTGGCCTGTCTTACCATATTTTATTTCACTAGCCTACACTTATTTGACACTTTGTACCAAATCATTATTCATCCGTCCAATCGTATGCAATGTCAACATTCAAGTTATGGTGTTTCCGATAGGTTTTTTTTTTTTTTAACAAGATACGAACTTCTCATTGAAATAATGAAAAGGAAATACAATATTCAAAGGATATAAACTCCCAAAGGGAGTGAAAGAAAGCAACGAAAATACAAAAGAGAACAACTGAAAAGAAAATATTAGAAGATGCAAGATAATAATGATCTGAAGAGCAAAAGCCTAAGAAACTTGTCAAAGAGAGATGCCAAAATAATTTGAACCAATCCCTGGACTTATCAAAATCAAAATCGAAAATTCAAAGATGTAATTCTAATGGAATCTTTCTAAAGTTTAGGTACTAGATAGATATAACCATCAAATTTTAGGGACTCAATTTGTGATTAACCATGATTCTATCAACTCTTTTTTATGGTGAATTTTATCTTCTTGTAAATGGAATACTATCACTATGAACTTTTTTTTTTCCGAAAAACAATTCTATCATTGAGAAACTGAAAGGATATGCAAAGTGTTTTGGCTTATTTGGAGAGAAAGGAATAGTAGGCTTTCGAAGATAAAAAGTCTTTAGAGGATGTTTTTTTTATAGTAATTTAGATCATATTACTTTGTGGTTGTAATTATAACTTACATATGATAGTTAGTGATTGGAAGGCCGCTATTGTCTAGTTTGCAGGGAGGGTGATCTCGACCACTTAGGTTGTTTTCTCTTTTGT